ATTTTTCACACACACACACACACACACACACACACACACACACACACACACACACACACACACACACACACACACACAAATCATTTGTAGCATTTGAATCGATTGGTTTTAGTGTTTAATTTTTAATTTATTCTGACAAAGTATTATAAAATATTAACATCAGCCTGTTATTCATCCATAAAATAATTATTCCCTTATGAGCCAGAATTTTATTATGGGAGCATCCCTAATATCAACAAAAGCTTTTGCATTGCTTAACATCCACTTTTGTTGCACACATCTCAAATAAAGAGTGCGTTATGAAGCAGATCTTAGATCAGTCTATTTTTAGACGGATCTCCAGGGGCAGCAAAGTATCTGTCAAGTATAAAGATGACATGGGCATCTAGAACCAGAGGTCAGGAAGTGACATCCTGCTGTGTGCTGCCTTCCCTCTCTCTCTCTCTCTCTCTCTCTCTCACTCTCGCTCTTTCTCTCTGCCCTGTGAATGTTGCTGTCAAACAGACTTTAGTAACAAAAGCGGCATGTAGCGTTCTGAAATATGGAGTATCTCCTTACTTGACCTCAGTGTCTCTAACCCCACCCTTGATGAGACCACAACCCATTCACTGCCCATTCACCACCAGCATCTGCCTTTACTTAAACAAATGCAATGAGATAACGGGATCCTTTGCGTGCTGTAAAAGAAAAATGTTTCTCCATGTCATAGTAAATGTTTTTCTCCCTAATATTTCATGGCAAAATTACATGAATATTTAATAGTTTGTTTATAATTTATTAATTTATGCTTGCTAAATGGATGTCCCTGCATTACTTTTTTAGATACCATAAATAGTGTATAGTGGCTTCAGTAATGAAACCATTTGTACAAAGAAGCTCAATACACTTCCCACAGGATTATGATCCACATTAAAGCTCCACCAACAAAAAGCTGGGAGTGACTAGCCTATGTGTGCGTGTTTTTGGATGGCTCTGGTAATTTAGTAACTTGAGTCAGAATCTGTAGTGTGTTTTTTTCAGCACCTAGCTCTAATTTAGCTCTTGATGAGCCTGGCTTCACATGGGCAGTGTCAGCTGTGTGTGTGTGCGCGTCCCCACGGGGCCCCAGCCCTGTCTTTAATTAGTAGAGCAGATCACAGCAGGGCCGGCCCTCACTGAGAGCCGTATCATTCCGTTCAGAGAAATCACAGTGACATCCTTTCTCCCACCAGACACACAGCACCAGCCACTTACCTCCTCTGTACTCACACACACTGTTTAACATGCACAGACCCACACACATGCTGGTATCAATCACACAGCTGTACATGTTCACAACACATCCAGAAAACAGTCCGGCAGTGTTGCTGTATGTGTGAGAGTGTGATGGACTCTTTTGATGGGTGTCGTCAATGTGTGATATTGTACCTTGTCTTATTGACCGTATGACACCTTACCCTTGAAGAACAACATGAATAGAAGATAAAAAATTATAAAGAGTACTCTCAAAATAAATAAATAAATGAAAAGCATACATTTCTTATTCATTTTTCTTGAGCAGCAAATCAGCATATCAAATGATTTCTGAAGGATCATGTGACACTGAAGACTGGATTAATGATGCTGAACATTCAACTTTGCCATCACAGGAATAATTTGCATTTTAAAATATATTCAAATAGAAAATAGTTATTTTAAATTGTAGTATCCCCCCCCCCCCCCCCCCCCCACATCTTTTTTTTTTTTTTTTAGTTCTGTGTTTAACGGTTTAGAAGCAGATCTCTTAGAAGTGGTGAACGCCACACTTCTTTCTGGGACTTTTCCAAACTCCCTGATTATTGAAAAGGTAGTTTTTAATAAGCTGAACTACTACTTAAACTCAAATGGATACCAGGACAATTTTCAATCTAGTTTCTGACAGTATCACAGCACAGAGACAGCGCTCATTAAGATAATAAATGATATTCGCTTAAATTCTGAGTCTGGCAAAATATCAGTGCTGGTACTACTAGATTTCAGTGCTGTGTTTGACACTGTCGATTATAACATACTTCTAGAGAGACTGGTAAACTGGGTTGGGGTTTCTGGGGTGGTACTCAAATGGTTCAGGTCATACTGAGAAGGGCTAGGTTATTATGTGAGTAAAGGAGAGCATAAGTCTAAGTGGACGGCCAGGACATGAGGAGCCCCACAAGGCTCAATTCTTGCACAGCTCTTGTTTAGGCTTTTTATGCTCCCACTAAGTCAAACAACCAGAAAGAACCAAATTGCC